TTCGCTGGAGTTTTTTCAGCCTTTTAGTCAGTTTGGCTGTGCGGGACCTTTTCTAGGTTGGAGTGACCGTCCCATCTATCCACCACGAACCGGTGCTTCCTTCTCTTCCTTTGAATTTATAGAGAGCCCGGCTTCTCTGTTGGTGCGCTTTCTCGCCCTGAAGAGACCTAGTCGCACCGTTCCAATTCTGCCTTGAAAACTTTTGAAAAAAAGAATCTGTTTGCAAACAACAGGTCCTGGGTGGAGGGGAACAGACAGAGGCAGGGTATGTGGAGTGGAGGAGAACAAGCCGTGACATCTGGCCTTAGTAAACTTGCAAAATTAATTTTGATGTACAGGAAACAGAAAGAGGCAGTTTTCACCCTTGCGCCCATTCCGGCTTCCTGCAGATAAAGAGAAGCATCTGTGTGGTGGTGGTGGAGGCGAAGATACAGACCACTTCGATCAGCAGCAATGCCCCAGGATGGCTTATCTCTGCCCCAAATAACCATACATCTCTTGCGGAGTTAGAGCTCAGTTTCCCCTTTTGCATCTATTACTCCCCACCAGCCCTGTGAGTTAAGGTGGATCACAACTTTCCGATCTGAGATAGTATTGTATTTGATCAATATGTTGGAGGGAAACAAGTCATGTCAGATAACGTCTTACTTCAGGAAAATGCCATCCACATATTGATGACACCTAACCCCGGAACTGTTGCCTTTAGTCCACAATTTTCTATTCAAACTGAAACACTGGATGCATGCTTGCTGTGGGATTATTTCTGTATGTCTCTGTTTGATCCATAGTTTTCCCTGTCTGTTGTCTTTCTACCAGAACTGGGAGCTCAAGGTGGTTCAAATTGTGATTAAACACAAGTACAGATAGAAACACCATAACTAATGTTAAAGCACAAATACATTATAACGTTAAAAGCATTATTTAAATGAGTTTTATGAAAAGGCACTGAAGTTAAAATCATAACAAAATATGCATTTGATTTAAAAATACTTTATTTCCAGCAGCCAGTCTATTGCTTAACGCCCATGACAGTAGGAAATGTAAAATTTTGAGATGAAAATGAAAAAATTTAGCTGAAGATCATAAGTCTTAATGATTTGGTTCATGCATTTAGAGAGGGAGGGAAAAAAAAGGAGGCAAGTCTTGATATTCCTTTCTTTTTTGTTTGGTTTTTAGAACAGAGACTGGGGAAAGAAGCAAGAAGGAAGAGGTTCTTCAGACAGTAGGTTCTCTGAGGGAGGACCACCGGACAGCAGTGCGCCAAAGAGATTAAAGTGAAAGCTTTGGGAGACACAATGGCCAGGAGGAGAGGCAAAAAGAGTTCTGTGAAGAGAAAGAGAGATCCTGAGGAGAAAGATGTTCCCAGGGAGGCTTCAAGTGAAGTAACCACCCCAAAGGGAAGTCACAGTGAAGAGACAGACGAGGCCAGCTCAGAGCAAGCTTCCAAGCTCGACGAGATATCTGGACCGCCATTTAAGTGCTTCGACTGTGGCAGAATTTGCTCTCACAAATCTGCTTTGGTTGTACACTTGAGGTCCCACACAGGAGAGAAGCCGTTTCCATGCACCGTTTGTGGGAAACGGTTCAGTTCCAGAGGAGAGCTCAACCGACATGAGGGAAGCCATTCAGGAGAGAAACCACATCCCTGTTCAATTTGTGGGAAACAGTTTTGTCACAAGTCAGCCCTGATTAAACATGAAAAAATCCACTCTGGTGAAAAGCCACATGCATGTCCAGATTGTGGGAAAAGATTCCTTACCAGAGGACATCTAGATAGGCACCAAAAAATCCATTTAGGTGAGAAGTTGTTCACCTGCTTATACTGTGAGAAAGCCTTTAGACAAAGAGAGCATCTTAATACCCATGAGAGAATCCATACAGGCGAAAAACCATATACATGCAT